CGGCCCCTGAGTGCGGCGCCCGGGGCGGTGGGGCGCGGGGCGGCCGGCGCGGAGTCGATTACCCATAATGAGCCCGTAATATGCATGTGCGGTGCTTCCCGTGCGGCCGCGTCATCACAATGGCACAGGCACTTTCCCGCCTCATTGCCTCCCAAATGGATTTTAAATATCCTTCCGAGGACACAATTATTTAAAACGCTGAACTAAACACTCGCTAATGGGAAACCGCGTGCGGCCCCCGCCCCGTGTGGACGCTGCACTTCCTCCCCCACGCCGGGCCCCCGGTCAGCTGCAGCCAGCGGGCCCGAGCGGGGAGCCAGCGGGCCCGAGCGGAGCCACGGAGACCCCTGCAACAGGCGGGGGTGCAGAGCGGGGAGGGCGGATCGGGGCCCGCAGGCCAGGCGCCCCCAGCAGCACAGGGACGGGCAGGGGGGGAGGGCGGGTGCTCCTGCTCCCCCGGGACCGACAGAGGCAGCAGGGAAGCCCTGCAGAGCTCTCACGGGGCAGCACCCTGCCAGCTCACAGCACCTTGGACCCATGCACAGCACAGCACAGCGCAGCGCGCAGGGGCTGTGGGCGGCGGGCTGGCAGCTGCAGGCTCAGGCCGGCTGCCGACATCCCCGGCAAGGCGCAAGCAGCGCTGTGCAAACAGGCCCTGGCTCCCCGACTGCGGCCAAGCCTCTCCTGGCCCTCGCCCGGAGACCCCCGTGCCACCTCCTGCCCCCACAGCACTGGCCACAGGTTTCTGCAGCCCTGCCCAGGCCCCGAGCGGCGGGCGGCGGCGGGGAGCAGAGCGAAAGGTGGCTGCGGGCTCCATGCAAGGGGTGCACCCTCTTGGCGGGGATGGGGTGCAAGGCAGGGGTCAGGCTTCATTACACAGGCCAGCCGCCCTGGCTGCAGCCCCTCGGCCACTGCAGCCGCGCGGGGAGCGGGCCGCCGAAGGGTGCTGCAGCCGTGCAGAGCAGCGCAGCGGGCAGACTCCCAGGGACAGGAGCACGGGATCCCAGCCCCACTGGCCTGGGAGCTGCCGGCATGCCCCACTGCCAAGGGCGTGGGGGTCAGGGGTCCTGTATCTCCATCACCTGGCCGCAGCCCCCAGGGTTGCCCTGGTCCTGTCGCTTGCGGGCCGTGAAGCTGCCCTGCCCTGCAGCCACCTCGGGCTCGAGGGAAGCCAAGCTGCCGGGGCAGGCGGCTCCCACCAGCCCTGTCCGGACCGGGGCCGCCCGCCTGACCCCGCAGCAGGAGCCGGCGGGAGTCCCTGCATCCCCCGCAGGCAGTGGAGCTGCGACTGCACTTCATTAGGGGGTTCATATTTCACCCTAATGGCTCTGCCGTCGCCGAGCCATCCATCACCCGCTCTTTTCCCTGCGAGAGCCGCACGGCGCCCGCCGGCACCGCCAGCCACGGCTCGCGACAACGAGCCAGCGCCGCGGCACGGGACCCAGCCCAGCACCGGGCAGGGCAGGCCACACGCCAGGCATCCCAGCCCAGGGGCAGGGCCCTTCCCCCAAAACGGGGAGACGCCAGGCAGGGACCCCTGCCCCCTTGCGGGGGAGCCTGCCCGGAGACCCCACCAGGTCCCGCTCCTGCGGGGCTCTTCAATGTCTCCTGCAGGATAACCCCGGGGCAGGGGAG